GGCCCAGATTCTTTGTCCTCTCTGAGGCCCTGCTTTAGCCCCTCCAAAGAGGGTTTGAGCATCTCTTGTTAGATCTGGAAAGGCCCTTGGAAACCATTGAATCCAACCCCCTTGTTTTGTAAAAAAGGAAACTCGGGCCCTGGCAGGGGAGGGACTTCTCTAAGGTGTCAGAGCCAGAATTTGAACTCGGTGTCCCTGACTTCAAAGCCTGCCCCTTGCTGCTGCTGTCTGGGCTGTGCTCCTCCCCGCTGCAGTCCTGCCTGGCCTCCCAAGTGGCAGGGGCTGGCATGGGCTCTTCACCCACTGTTCTAAGGCATCACTGATTTCCTAGGACAGAGGTGCCCGAGAGAAACACCTGCCATGCTTCCTCAGCTGGCAGAGCCCAAGGTGTACCTGGTCTGAGAAGTGGCTAAGGGATGAGGCCTGGAGGCAGGCCGGCCTCAGATACTTGCCTAGCTGCGTGACCTTGGGCAAGTCACTGAACATCTGTCTACCTCAGTTCCCTCAGCTGTAAAATCAGGATCATAACAGCACCTCCTTCCCAGCATTGTTGTGAGGACCACATAAGAGCATGTTTGTAATGATAGCTAGCATTTATAGAGCACTTACTGTATACCTGGCACTGTGCTAAACATGCTACAAATAAGGCACTTAGAACGGTGTTGTTCTTATTGGACGGTCGAGTTGTTATTGTTGTTGCTGTTGTCTTTGGTAGATGCCCAGCTGGTGCCTCGCCCAGCCTCCACCCAGCCTCCACCCAGCTCGGTGCCTCAGTGGGTCCCTGACCACTCTAATGCTCCCCCGGGCATTTTACAGATGAGGAAGCACAGGGAAACAACCAAGCCAAGGACAGACAGAGCGAAGGGCTCGAGTCCAGCCTTCAGGGCGCCTTTTAAGGGTTCACGGACCGTGAGATACTAGAGACATAGAGAGCCCCCAGAGTGCCCAGCGGCTCCCAGCCGCAGGAAGCTTATGTTTCCCAGCGGCTTCCCCGCTCTCGGGGAATTGGCCTGGAGACCAAGCCAGGCTTCCTGCAGCTGTGGCCTCCTCTGCCCTTCTCCTGCAGGGTCTCAGCCACCCCAGGGCCTCCGTCTGCACTTGTGAATGGTTTGTTGTTGTTCCATGCCCACATACAAACAAGCATTGAAAACAGCCATCTGGGACCTCGCCTGCTATCGCTGGCGGGTCAGAAAGGAGATTGTTTCCTTAACTGAGATGGTCGCTGACTGGCTGGCTGGCTTGCGGGCCCCCTTCTCATCTCCTTATTCCACAAGGAGGCTGCATGGCTCTCCGTATTGGGTTTTGTCTGTGCCCTGTTGTCTTAGCTGACTTCCCTATGCCAGCCTCACTGTGTAGACATGGCCCTGCATATATCTGACTTCATCTTGGCCATTCCTTTAGGAGTGGAGGGAAAAGAAAGCTGGGCATGGAGGCGGGAAGCCCTGGGTTCAGACCCTACCTCTGATCCTTCCTAACTGTGGGCAAGTCACTGAACCTCTCTGTGCCTCAGTTTCCCCATCTATAAGATGGAGTTAGCATGACCTGGACTAGCTCTGCCATAGCATGGTTGTGAGGCTCAAAGCAGATAGCAGCTCCAGAGTCCTTTGTGGGAGATAAACACCTCCATGGGCCTGAGTCAAACCAAAGACAACCCCCAAGGCCCAGCCATGCTGGGGGATGTAGGTCAGAGCTTACATCGCACTACCAGCAGTGTCTGAGGCCAGATTTGAACCTGGGAGCCTTTCCTCATGGGCCTAGAGACAGCATAGCATAGTAACTAGGGCATAGGGCAGGGAGTTGGGAAGCCCCAGGTTCAAATCTGACCTCAGACACTGCTGGTAGTGTGACTCTGGACCAGTCACTTCAGCTCTGCCTTTGTTTCCTCATCTGCAACATAGAAGGAGAGGGATGGACTCAGTCGCATTTGAGGTTTCTTCCAGCTCTAAAGCGTGACCCCAGTGACACTGTAAGTGTGAGACACTGTAAGAGGGAGTTTGAAGAATGGGAGATATCCCATACCCTCTACATCCCCCCCACCCCAGCCCCGAGTGCCCAGCCCTGGACTCAGCGAAAGAAAAAGGATCCGAGATCTTGGCCTGGAAGAGACCTTAGTGGTCTCCAAGGCCAACAGCACCAAAGTCCAATAGAAGCAGCTCCCTGCAGGCTACATGTGGATTTAGAAAAGCACAAATTACCGTTATCTGTTGTATTTTTATTGATTTTGTTAAACCTTTCCCAATGACATTGCAATCAGGTTCAGCACTGGAGTTTTCTGGGCTTGTAGTTTGACATCTCTGACCTAGGCCAAGCCCCTCACTGTACAGGTGGGGAAACTGAGGCCCAGCACAGGGAAATGACTTGTATAAGGTCACACAGATAGGAATGGCAGTTGTTCCATTCAAACTCAGGTCTCTTTCCTGATTCTACAGTCTTTTTCTTGAAGAGCAAAGAGCCCCTTTTATTGGACAATTTATCCCTCAAGGGGAGGAGGAGTCTTAGTCTCTGGCCATGGTGGATTTCCACTCCCAGTTTTTGGTATTGAAATGCCAAATACTGTGGAAGTCACCTCTAGACCTCAGTTTCCTCCCTAATGTTAGTCCAGGCCCATCTAAGGGCCACATAAGGATCAGTTGAAGCACCTGGGAATTTTGAGGCTATAGAGGAGAAGACGGGGCAAGGAGGGGGAGAGGGGAAATGTGCCAAGTGCTCCCCAGCCTCCATCTCATTTGATTCTCATTAGTCCTGGGAGGATTCTTATCTGTTATCATTCCCATTTTACAGACAGAAAATTAAGGCTGAGGAAGTAAAGTGATTTGCCTAGGATTATACAGCTAGTCAGAGGCAAGGTTGGAAGGCCAAGGCCACTCCCAACACCAAGTGTTTTGGCTCAGCCCCAGCTCTCCTGGGCAGAGTCTTCGTTAGTGCTGATTCTCTCTGTCCCAGATTCCCACAGGGCCCTCTGGTCACCTCCTCCCCAGGTTGGCCCTGCCCGCCATCAGGCTCTAGACGTCTCAGACCTTGAATCAGGCGCTGGCCAGCCTACTGGGCCCCCTTCCTTCCCTAGCGGCTGACACACTGCCACACTCATCACTCCCTGGGACCTTGGGCTCATTGCTTAGGAGAAGGCCAAGTAAGCAGCTCCATGAATATGACCATTTTTCCAGGCTGTCCTTCTTGTCAATTCTTTGCCACCACAAAAAGAGCTGCTATAAATATTTTTGTACACGTGGGTCCTTTTCCCAGCTGTATGATCTCTTTGGGATATAGCCCTTGAAATGCTATTGATGGATCCAAGGGTATGCAGTGTTTTATAGCCCTTTGAGCATAGTTCCAAAACGCTCTCCAAAATGGTTGGATCATTTCACAACTCCACCAACAATACATTAGTGTTCCAATTTTCCCACATCTTCTCCAACATTTATCATAGCCCTGTTTTGTCATGTTGGCCAATCTGATAGGTGTAATGTGGTACCTCAGAGTTGTTTTGATTTGCATTTCTCTAATCAATAGTGATTTAGAGCATTTTTTCATATAACTATAGACGGCTTTAATTTCTTCCTCTGAGAACTGCCTGTTCATATCCTTTGACCATTTATCAATTGGGGAATGACTTATGTTCTTATAGATTTGACTTAATTCTGTATATATTTTAGAAATGAGGTCCTTATCAGAGAGACTGTTTGTAAAAATTCTTTCTCAATTTTCTACCTTCCTTCTAACCTTAGTTGCATTGGCTTTGTTTGTGCAAAAACTTTTCAATTGAATGTAATCAAAATTATCCATTTTGCTTTTTGTAATGTTCTTTATCTCCTGTTTGGTCATGAATTCTTCTGTTCTCCATAGATCTGATAGGTAAACTATTCCTTGCTCTTCAAGTTTCCTTACAGCATCAGCCTTTATATCTAAATCATGAACCCATTTTGACTTTATTTTGGTATATGGTGTGAGATTTTGGTCTATACCTCGTTTTTGCCATATTCTTCTCCAGTTTTCCCAGCAGTTTTTTTTCAAAGAGTGGGTTCTTATCCCATAAGCTGGGGTCTTTGGGTTTATCAAATAATAGATTATGATAGTCATTGACTTACATATTTAACCTATTCCACTGATCCACCACTCTATTTCTTGGCCAGTGCCAAGCAGTTTTAGTGATTGCCGCTTTAATAATACAATTTAAGATCTGGAATGGCTAGACCACCTTCCCCTGCATTTCTTTTTATTAGTTCCCTTGATATTCTGGACCTTTTGTTTTTCCAGATGAATTTTGTTATTATTTTTTCTGATCTATAAAATAATTTTTTGGTAGTTTGATTGGTATGGCACTGAATGGGTAAATTAGCTTAGGTAGAATTGTCATTTTTATTATATTAGCTTGGCCTACCCATGAGCAACTGATGTTTTTCCATTTATTTAGATCTGACTTTATTTGTGTGAAAAGTGTTTTGTAATTGTGTTCATAGAGTTCTTGGGTTTGTTTCGGGAGGCAGACTCCTAAATATTTTATAATGTCTACAGTAAGTTTAAATGGAATTTCTCTTTCTCTCTCTTGCTGTTGAGCTTTGTTGGTAATATATAGAAATGTCGATGATTTATGTGGGTTTATTTTATAGCCTAGGGCAGATGACTTTTAACAAGCCAGCCCAGCCAAAGAGACAGTGGAGTGGAGTCAGGAAGGCCTGAGTTCAGTTTCTGCCTTACAGCAACTCTAACTGTATGTTCCTGGGCAAGTCACTGATCTTCAGCCCCAGCTTCCTCACCTGGAAAATGGGTATTATAAGCACTCCTAGGTCCCAGGGCTTACACAGAGCTCCAGAGAGAAGGCCTGGGTGGTATTCAGGCTCAGGTAAAGGCCTGACTCTCTGCCCCTGGCTCCCCTGGTAGGCACTAGCCTGTGCCAGGTATGCCAGGGCATACCCTGGACTTAGAGGGAGAGTGGGCAGCGACTTGGGAGGAAGCCATTCTTGGGGCTGAGCCACAGACTCCAAATAAGAGGATGAGCCCAGATGGCGGCCACGATCTCCTCCATGGCCCCGTTATCTCAGCCTGACCTTATGAGCTGTGGCTATTTGGTGGGTTGGGTAGCAGGGCCTTTGCTGATCTGGCACCTTGGCAAAACTGGGCTCTCCTCTGGTGCTACCCACAGACCCTAGGAAGAAACTTGGGGAGGGGGTGCGCAAGGCCACACCCATAGAAAGTGGGACAGCAAGGACTCCAACCCAGGTTCTCAAACCACAGAGCCACCCTTTCCCAGTCTCCTTTTCTAAGCTACATGTTTTCCACCCTCTAAAGTGGTCCACTCCTGAGCCCTCCTCTTTCTCCCCCAGGCTTCTGTGGGCCTCCCCCACCCTTAGTAAGAAGCTCTGCAGTCCGTAATAGCGAACAATTGTACAGCCGATTTTCGATGTAACAGAGTGCTGAGCAACCTTCTCTTTCTTCTGGGAAGACATGTGGCCCCTGGTTCCCATGTTGTGGGCAAGGGGACTCAGTTCAGAAAATGGGTTCAGCACTGAGGAGATACAAAGAAAGGCAAATGATGGCCCTGCCCCCGAGGAGCTTCCAGTTTAAGGCCAACAAGCAAACAAGCCATGGAAGGCTTGTTGCGGAAGCTGGGGGGGCAGTTAGTGGGGACTTGAGGGAAGCCGGGAGATGGAGAGGAGGAAGGAGAGAGGGTTCTAGGCTTGGGGGTCACCAGATTCGAGAGATGGGGTATCTTGGTTGGGGAACACCAGGATGCCCATGTCACTAGATTGAAGGGAACATGGTGGGGGCAGGAAGGATACATGGTCAGACTGAAGCTTTAGGAAGATCACAATAATAGCTGAGTAGAGTCAGGAGAGACATTGTTACATAGCCCAGGGTGGTTACAGTGCCAAAGGAGAGAAGAGGGCATGTCCAGGATGTCCCAAAAGTCTTAGGGCTACTCTGTACAAGAAATATTATGAAGGTAGAAATGAAAGGACTAGGCCCCAGACTGGCTACGTGAGGAAGAGAGGATGAGAGGGGATTGAGGACCTAGGTGACTTGGGAAGGTGGCGGTGCCCTCAAAAGCAATAAGAATGTTCAGAAGAGGAGAAGGCTTGGGGTGGGGGGCAGAGGCAGGAGATGATGAGCTCTGCCTGGGACATGCCCATGTCTGAAAGGCCAATGATGCATCATGGGAGAGGTGGCTGTGGAAGTCACTGCGTAGTGAGGAGCCTTGAAGCTATGGGAGCTGATAGCCAAGTGAGACAGTGTCGAGCAGAGAGAGATATTAGGGGGCTGTGAACTTCCCCCTTTAATCTTGGTTTCGTCTGGCCTTTGGTTTCCTTGTAACGTGCTCTCCGAGTCCCTGCATTTAACCCGTTATTCGGAGCAGAGCTCCATGTCAGTCAGCAAACTCATCTAACCCCTGGTAGAGCCTATGTGGCGTCCATGCAGCATTTTCTTTTTTTTTAATTAATAAATTTATTTGTTTTTAGTTTTTAACATTTACTTCCACAAGATTTTGAGTTCCAAATTTTCACCCCATCTCACTCCTCGCCCCACCCCAAGATGGCATACATTCTAAATACCCCTTCTCCTAATCTGCCCTCCCTTCTATCTCTCCCCCCCTTCTCCTTCTATTTTCCTGTAGGGCAGGATAGATTTCTGTACCCCATTTCCTGTATTTCTTATTTCCCAGTTACATGTGTTCTTAAAACTTTGGGATCCAAATTTTCTCCCTTCCTTCCTCCCCACCCACCCTCCTTGAAAAGGCAAGCAACTCAATATAGGTTATACATATGCAGTTCTGCAAAACACTTCCATAGTAGACATGCTGTGAAAAACTAACTCTATTTCCCTTCATCCTATCCCACCCCCCCCATTTATGCTATACTTTCTTTTGACCCCGTCCCTCCTCAGAAGTATTTGCTTTTGATTACCCCCTTTCCCAGTCTTCCCTCCTTTCTATCATCCCCCTACTCTCTTACCCCCTTCCCCCCTATTTTCCTGTAGGGTAAGACAGATTTTCATACCCAATTGAGTGTGTATGTTATTCCCTCCTTAAGTCAAATCATATGAGAATAAGATTCACTCATTCCCTCTCACCTTCCCCCATTTCCCCTCCACTGTAAGAGCCTTTTCTTTTCTGTTTTTTTGTGAGATAATTTACCCCATCCTACCTCTCCCTTTCTCCTTCTCCTAGTATAATCCTTTCTCATCCCTTAATTTTATTCTCCAGATATGACCCCTTCATCTTCAACTCACCCTGTGCCCTCTATCTATCTATCTACCTATATATATATATATATATATATATATATATATATATATAT